CTGTTTGAGCCAATTCATTTGCGATTCGATTTGTATTTCGAGAGATATGCTCCAACTGAACCTCATCGAACGAGTTTAACAATGCTATCATTCGAGATTTACATTCTATAAGTTTTTCATTTGTGCATTTGTATTCTCGAGTCACTTGCTTAATCACAAGTTGAGAATCACCCCAAATTATTATATTTTTTGCCCCCAACTCTTTAAGCAAATTTAGCCTAGTAATTAATGCCTCATATTTAACTTGATTATCCGAGTACCCGTATTTGGTTCTTAATGAAAATTTGGTAGGGATTCCGTTAGGGGAAATAATTAATAATCCGATTCCTGTTCCTAGATCGTGTTTTGATCCATCAAAAAATAGTTCCCATGCTTTCGTGGTTAGGTAATAAACTTCTTCTATTAACTTTGAGTGATAGACAAGGAAATCAACAATTACTTGACCTTTAATAGCTCTAAGTGGAACAAAAACTAGAGAGTATTCTGTTAGTGCGAGCCCCCATTTACCAATTCAAGATGCTACACAACTTTAGACAACATATACACTACAAGAAAAAAACGCAAATTTTCGATGGAAAATTTCTGGCGGATGTAAATCCGTCAGAAAATATAAATTTTTCAACGAAAAATTTCTGATGGATATCAATCTATCAGAAAATATAAATTTTCTGACAGATATTTCTATCAGTAATTTCTAACAGATTTATATTTTCGACGGATTATCCGTTGGAAATTTTCGACGGATTTTTGTTTCTATCAGAAAATTTAAGACCATAACACACTTCCTAATGTCCCTTGTTTGAACTCTTCGAGAATTCGATGATCGCTTTTTTTGAAATTTATAAATATTATTTTTAATATTATAAAATGAATAAATTTTAATTTTATATTTTAAGAAATATTTTTCTTTAATTTTATCTTTTTAAAATGACTTAAAACACGGTAGAAGAAGGATTTTCTACTCCAGAAGACACATCATCTCTTACTGCGACTCAGAAAAAGGAGTTAAAAGAGAACAAACAAAAGAATTCAAAGGTGTTATTCATTTTGCAACAAGCTGTGACTGACACAATTTTGCCGAGAATAATGGGTGCAACAACCGCCAAAGAAGCATGGACTACGCTGCAGGAGGAGTTCGAAGGAAGTGAAAAGGTACGTGCCATAAAATTACAAACTCTACGGCGTAACTTTGAATGGTTAAATATGAAGGAATCTGAGACTGTAAATGACTACTATTCTAAGATAAAATAAATAGTTAACTAAATGAGAGCGTACGAGGAAAATATTCTTGACAAGAAAATTGTGGAGAAAATTCTAATTAGTGTTTCCCGTAAATATGATCCAATCGTGACAACAATTGAGCAAACAAAAGATCTATCTACCTTATCAGTAATAGAGTTGATGGGGTTACTTGAAGCTTACGAGCAAAGGTTGAATAGGCATGATGAAGACTCAACTGAAAATGCCTTTCAATCAAAGCTCAAATTACGGTCTCAAAATAAGGACCCACAGCTATGGCTTTGGAGGTTTCTTCACCCTGAAGGACTCTCCACAACTATAGCCATGGATCTACAGCTGCAGCCGTGGGAGTAAAAGTCACTTTTTGGCCCTGTTTTGAAGCTCATATAAAAGGGGGAAAAAATGAGAGACGGGGCATCACGTACCACAGAGAAAAAAATAGATTGAGAAGCACTTGAAGGGAGAAACGGAGCAAGAACGAAGACTTGGGCAGCTGGGTCATTTGGGAACGAAGCCCAACCCCTTGTTTTCATCTCCAACTTTGTAATCTCTTCTTTTACTTCTTAGATCTTGTAATGGCCATGTGTGGCTAAACTCCTTAAGGATTGGTTGGATGTAACTACTAACTCCTCTTCTTCTTAAATATATGCATTTTGATCTCATTATTTGTGCTTGATTCTTCCCTTAATGCTTATATCGGCTTGATCACCCGTTGTATGATTTTTGGCTTTTGAATCCAGTTGGAAAACGTTTTCGAAAACCCGAACTGAATCTTGCACCTAATCATTTCTTGTTCTAGGAATAGACTTGATTTGGTTAGTCACATTGTTCAAGTCATTGTTCTTAATGCGAAGTGTTAAACTTAAAACATAGAGGAATCATGTTTTGAGCTTAATGACTTTAGGATTCAACCTTGAGGAATCTTGTTGGATTACTTAATGAACGTGGAAATAATGGAATTAGAATCGCAT